AGCTGGTGAAACTGTTTTTATGAAAGCAGTTGAAATTTCATACCCCTGCCCTACCAGGGCTCAGGGGAAGAGTTTATAGAAATCTATTCAGTAATACTCCGTAATCCTTATAAATTATTCTAAAAATCTTAAAGGAATGTTTCTCCACAGAACCCTATAAACCAAATAAGATAAAACCCAGGCTAATATGTTTCCTGTCTATTTTGACTTTTTTGCCCAGAGGAATTTTGAAGCACTTTGCAGAATTGAGCTTGCACATAAAATGTGTAGAGGTCAAATGTTATTACTACCTAAAGGAATGTCCAGAACGCTTTGCTATCGGATGTACTGGAGTCTGTTTTGTGTTAAGAAAGAGCACAGTTTTTGGGCACCAACTAGCTGGATTTGACTCTCAGATATGTTCTCCACTAATTATGTGATTTGGGCAAATTATTCAGCCAGTGGCTCTGTAAATTCATGTGTACAATAAAGATATTACTCATCTCCTATGGTTGTTTGGAGGATTGCATGGGTTAATATTTGTATGCAGATTGGCTTGGTTTCTGAAACAAAGCATTGTAACTCTTATTACCAAGTCTAATTCTTTTATTGACTGAAACATTAAAATCTCTTTGTAATAATGCATTGTTTCAGTTTAATTTATATTGTACATAGGCTAAGGTGGCAATGTGTTTTATTTTAAAGATTCACAAAACATATTAAGCTGTTAAATGAAATTTAATGGAAAAGCATGACTTATTTCAGAGAAAACTTTTAATGTACTTCGGCAACCCCAATAGTGTGTCTATTAATCATATATAATGTTGGTAGAATTAGTTGTCTAATACTGATTAGACTCTCATAAATACATGGGAGAAATAGTTAACTATATCATATAGAAAATACAATTATTGAAATATGTTCACCAATAGGTATTAAAATAAAAAATTTAAAATATACATTAGAATTTAGAAGTGCAGTACTTCTCAAACCTTTACTATTTAGTTGAAATTTTGATTCATTTTTGGGGGGTTGCCAATATTAAATTCAAGTTTCTATTTCATAGAAAGAGGAATAATGCTGTCAGAAGATGTAAGTTCCTATCTTTAATTAAGCAATTATTAGAATTCAGTATTGAGGGCCGGGGATTTAGCTCAGTGGTTTCACCACCTGCTGTGCAAGCACAAGGACCCGAGTTGGATCCCTGGTACCAAAAAAAAAAAAAAAAAAGAATTCAGTATTGAAGTACATATGTAGAAAATAGTGAATTAAATGTTGACATATTTAATGAGCAACAGAGTATTCAATGTTTATGTAAATAATGCAGTTTTAGATGTATCTTAAATTGGTTATTTTGCATTTAAATAGGCAATACTAAATGTATAAATCATGAAGAACAATTGTTAATATTTTTCTGTTTTCCTCCAGCCTTTCTGAGGTATGGTGGAAAAAATTATAAGATATATAATTCATGATGTACCTATATGTATATTGTGAAATTATTATCATAATAAAGATAATTAATATTTCTGTTACCTCATGGTTACTCTCGTAACTGCTATTCTGTTTTCATGAATTCAGCTTTTTTAAGATCCCACATGTAAGTGATTTGATTAAAGAATACAAACTTTATAAGAGTGATAAATTTTGAGCATCTAATGTATAAAGCATGGTGGCTGTAGGCAGTAATATATTTTACACGTGAAATTTGCTAAGAGAGTAGATCTTAAGTGGTCTCATCACACACAGACAAGGGCAAGAATATTGGGAAGGTGTTGGTTAAAATAAATTATTGAATGGTGAGCTTTGGAAGATTTCCATAGACTCTATTTCTTTAATACTGAGGTAGGTTTATTTTATCATATAAAAAACCTGATATTTATTATTGGAAACAGTAAAACATCAAATTAAAGGTGAAGTTTTTCAGTGTTGTTTTATTCTATATTTATAAAATGTAAATTTGTGTATATATTATTTGGTGAAAAATTTTTAAATGCACTAAAGTGCACATTTTATGCACTAGGATCTGTGGTAGTCACTGGTTTTATAGTAATAAATGGTTTCTCTACTTAGGGATCTCAAATCTAGTATGAAATAATAATGAAACAAAACAAACATAAAGTTTTTTTAAGAGTCCTTACGTATACAGGAATGTAACAAGAGAACAGGGCCCTGAATTACCTGTGTGACGGTCTGAGCTGACTTTTAAGCAAAGAACTCAAGGATAAAGAGGAGATGGCTGGGACAGGAACTGGAGGGAGCTTTCCAGGCAGATAATTTGTTTGTGGGAGGGCCGTGAGGCAAAGAAAGGGTCAGAGACTGAGGCGGAAGGGAGAAGCCACAGAGTAAGTGGCCACCGACTCCAATGGTGACTGTATGAATGAATCACAAGACAAACAACATTTTGATGGTAGGATTGCAAAATAGATCCCATGTTCTTTCAGCTGTTCTACCATGTCCTTCTAGTTCCATTTCTTTATTGGCTGGGATTTGTCTTATTTATCTGTCCCTCCATAGATAAGTAGAATGATTTAGTAATCTATAAGAATATTGAGTTACAAGTGGATGAACACATCAGATAATTACCTGGCAGATATATAAATTGGTTGGGAGAATATTGAAGAGCTAATGCTCTCATAGGCTGAAGTTTTATTTGGCTTTTTGCAAAGAGACAAGGGTGTAGAGTGTTTCCTTTACAGTACTGGCTGAGGGAGAGATGTATGTAGTCAGATAGTAGCATCTTTGATCCCTAAGCCTAAAAAATACTGAATTATCTGCCTTTACTCTCCTCATTTTTCTGTGGACATCTTGGCCTCTTGGGTAATGCTTCAGATGTCAAACTATGTAGTTGGTGATAAAATTAAAGAAAGCTTTACTAGTCCCCATGGCTGCAATTAAATGATCCTAAGCAGGACTTGTTAAGGTAGTTTCTAAACTTTTTTTCATTTTTCTGGCACTGAATTTAACTGAGTTCTTAGGAGGTTTCCTGTCTTCCCCCAACCCTTGTTTTAAATGATGCTGAATATTTGTGAGTGCTTAGGTTTTATTTTTCTGTCATCATGTCCATTTTTATAAGTGTGCTAAATCATGTTACTTATTCATTCAACAAACTTTGTAGTGCCATATTTGTCTCTGTGTTATTTATTCATCATAGAGAAGGAAATATTCTTGGGCTTTGTCCATGTGTGAGTGTGGGAAACTGACATGAAATAATTGAACAAATGTAAATAATTAGAGATTGTGTTAGATGCTATGAGGAAAGTAGAGGGCGCTCTGAGAGGATGATTTTGTGGCTTCTTTGGGTTGGGCCACCAAGGAAGGAATTTCTCTGTAGATTTTTAGGTATAATACTAAAAGATAAGTTAGCAAAGGGAAGTAGAGATAAAGACCCTGAGGACTTTATCTCTTCCAAAGATGTTGATTATTTTTATTTTAAGATGGAAGATTTTATGTGCTGCTGAGCTCACCATTTTCTGTGCCAGTTGAGGGCACAAAATAAAATTTTGACTTGCCAATTATGTACTGTTAGGTTTGTGTAGGAAGGTGTGTATTTGCCTGCTTTTTAAGTATGGCAGCAGTAAACATGAAATGAGTACAAAGTGATTACTCAATATGTGATTATTGTGCATTTGTTTAATGTTCCTTTACCTTTCAAATTTTAATGCTGGGAATTTTAAGAACTATTGAGTTGTTGGAAGAAGTAGAACCAAGACATCTGTAATACTGTTGGATGTTGAAGACCAAGAGAAGTTAAACAGGAGCAGAAAGATGAAAGAAGATGGAGAGAGACAGGGCTGGCTAGTCAGTGTGGTTATGTGGAAAAGTCTTAATGTCTTCTTACTACTTAAAAATTAATACAGTGCTTACATGTGAAACTGTTGTCTGCACTGAAGAACTTCAAACATTTTCTCCAGTTAGATCACTTTTAGTCTAATTTGATCTCAAGCAGCATGCATTTGTGTACCAGTGATTCCTGTGGGAGGCTTGCTGTATTTCACAGGCATCACAGATGTGTGGTGAGGGAAGTAGTTTTCCAAATGCCTGAAGTTCTTTTGCTATCTTTAAATCTTTTCAAAGCCACAGGAAGTTATATCAAGTCTTTATTTTAAACGTGTTAGAAAACTGCAAGAGGAAAAGGAAGACATGGTAGATGTTTACCTACTTATTTAGAAATGGCCTGTTTTTAAAAACAGGAAGTTAGTTTCCATATATTATCTGGGTTAAAAGCTGAAGTACCTAGATGGCATGAATCCAAGCTGAAAGCCAGATTGAGAATAGGATTTTCAAAATCTCTACATTGTGTGAGTTCACGGAAGGGGGATAAAAGCAAAACATAGAACATCAGAAAAATTGACCTTTTATTTTTCTTTGAGCCTAAATAGGAAATGAGACAGTATTATTTTGCTTTTGTTTTTCTCATGCTAGTAACCATTTTTGTTTTCCTTTCATGTGATCCTTTTTCAAAAAATATGAAGGGTTCACTGAATTTGAGTAATTGTAAATGATGCTCTATTTTGACGTGGCTTCTCTAGCTTATTTAATCAAAATTTAATAATTTACCTATGTAAATCCAATTTACAAACCTTTGTTCATTTAGCAAACTAACAAAGTTCATGCACCAGAGCAAAAATCAAGATAAAATAAAATAGGTGTATAAGCTTAATGAGGGATGAAAGGTTTATTCATTTCCTTCATTTAAGGATTATCTCCATTAATGGAAATGGGTTCAGTGATATTGTGTGTGACCACATTTTCTTTTGCACTGATCCTTAGGAATGTGTTGATGACACTGCTAACAGTATCATTTTCAAATATGTCTACATAGAAGGACTAGAGGATGTCATTATACATACTGTTTTCCTATGTACCATTGCCAAAATTTGTATGTAATCATAGACTCTTGTTGTCCACACTGCTTAAAAGCAAATGGGAAAGTATACAACATGGTAACATTATAAATGCATTTAAAATCCAAGTTCATAGTACTTGAATATAAAAGAACAGTTTTATATATTTTGCAGAAAACGTATGTTTCAGAAGAGATGGGTGAAATTTGATGGCCTTAGCATTTCTTACTACAATAATGAAAAGGTAAGTGCATTGTCCATTTGTCAGATTGTTTTATGCATATGAAGTGTAATCTAAACAAGTGGGTATGGATTTTAAGTGTAGGAGATGGATTATCAACATGAAAATAATTTTACTGTGATAAAATACGTTTAGCTTTCTCTTTACTTTTTGATAACACAAAATTGAGACTTTTTTACTTATATATCTAACAATTATTTCTGCATTATCTTCTATAAACCATAGAAAATTCATTGAATGATACAAAGATGAATAAGCAATTCCTTTTAGCATGCAGATCACAAAATAATGTCTACAAACACTTTAAATCCAAAATGGCAAATCAAGGGAGAGTTGCTTCATTCTGGGGGTGGGAGGGGTTTGTATGAGATCTCTTTGCCATGAGTCTTGAGGAAAGAGGAGTGTTTGTACACAGGGAAACTAGAGAGAACAGGGCTTCTTAGTGGAGAGGATAGTGAGATATTAACATGGGAAATTGTGAACCGAAGACTCGAGCATGTAGCTTTTTTTATGATTGGAGAACAGAGTATGTGAAAGAGACTTCTGGGAGATGAAACTGAGAAGGTTGTTTAGGTTTAGAGCTCATTGGAAATCTTGACTCTTAGGTGATAATGGTTACTGTGTATTGTTTTGGCAGTTAAGTCTCAGTGACATGGCAGAGTTCTGAGCTTGTCTTATTAGGTATGAGAGTGTTCGTATCCATATGAGATAGGCTGAAATATTTATGGGGTTCATATCATTGTACCTAACATTTTCTAAATGTTACCCCTATGTGTTTATACATAATTAAAACAAATTTTAAAGATACACAGCCTGTGGATTGTGAATAGGTGGATCAACCTCTGTGAATCAGAAATATTTGAAAAAAATTGCATCTGTAGTGAATATGTACAGGCTTTTTCTTTTCATTTCCCAAATGACTTAGCATAGCAAACTGTTCTTACAGCTTTTATATCATATAAGGTAGTATAAATAATCAGATGATTTGAAGTATGTAGGAGGGTATATTTAGGTTATATGAAATACTACATCATTTGATTTAAGAAACTATAGCATCTGTGGATTTTGGTGTCCAAGAGATTCCTGGAACCAGCCCTATCTCAGATACCAAGGTACAACTGTAGTCATTTGTCAAATCTAGATAGCAGATATGTGAGTATTCATCATATTACCCTTTTAATTTCTCTATTTGGAGATATTTTTAATAAAAAGTTGGAACTAATAAAGATAGCATATTTTTAGTTAATTAATATTAGATGGTTTGACCCTAACTTACACATTCACTTCAATATTTTCAACTTAATCATAGACTGTTTATATCTTATAATCTCACATTATACTTTCATTAAAGATCAATCCTACCTAATACTGGTGATATTCATGACTTGAATAGACGTTGCATATATTACTTCTTTAGTGCTCTGAAAGAGAAGTATATATTCTCCCAGACAGAAAATAGCACCTACTGCGCCATAACACGTGTGGTGTGCTCTAATCCTGAGAAGAAATAGAAGGTCTAGAAAAGTGTCGTTTGCCTTTATTTTGCAATGATCCATGTAGAGCAACAAATAGATTTAAACATATTTCTTTTAGGATTGCAAGATGGTGGGATGAGTGTTTTTAAAAATCCGGTTATCTGCTTTAGTTATTTCTAGTTTGTATTTTCAATGTTCTGACACCTTCTATACTTAAGGTGAGTGCAACATTGTGGAATATGGTGCAATATCTGATGGAACCTGACTTCTGGTTTTCTTCAGCACCTGTGCCCTTTTTTGGTTTCATTGAACTGAGCATAGTTGCCACAGGGTTCTGTTGCTGGTGGTTTTCTTATTCCCGTTGAAGAGAATTTTTAGTAACTTGTGTTACTTGGACTGTTTTTTCCCTCTGTCTTTTCAGAGTTCATCTCAATTGCAATGAAAAGAAGACCCTATTATATTTTTAGATATTGATGCAATAAAAATAATGCAGGTTTTGTTTGAAATTGAGAAATTTTTATTATATTGAATTAGTACAAATCAATTAGCTTCAACCTTTAGCTTAATATTATTTAAAAAAAATCAAATTGTTGTTTGCTATGGCATTTCATCCATATATTGTCTGGGGGATTGGTTTCATCTTGGCAAAAGAATTAAAAAAAACATGAGAGTGGGTGTTTTGTAAAAGGAGATGCTGTATCTACTGTGACTCTTGCGGCAAAAGGCACCTGTAGGTGTGGCCACAGCTACTATCCCAGCTGACTGTGCAATTTTAGCAGCTGTGTGAACAGAGCAGTTTGTTTTGCACTTTTTTTTGGTACTGGGGATCGAACCCGGGTCCTTGCGCTTGCGCAGCAGACGGCGAAACCACTGAGCTAAATCCCCGGCCCTGTTTTGCACTTTTGAGGAACACAAGGTTTGGCATTTGGGAGGTAGTGTGGACAGTTACCTATTTCCCTTTCTTTGTTCCACTGTCCTCATGGTTTCCCAATCGTGTCTCCACTAGGACTTCATTTCCTGACAGAAAATGGCATCATTGCAATAGTCTTGATACCTTATCCCCTGCTAAGAAATCTAACTCACCCCCTCACTCAGCTGTGGGCAGAATTGCCCTGTGATCATTTCATTTTCTGAAAGTGGTCAATAAATGATCAATTTGACCTAGATAATCTGTGTGTTACAGGCTCAGGGAATACTTTAAAATTTCTTTCCTTAAGGAAAATTTTGCACTCTGAAAAACACAGGCATTTTGAGCCTGTTGTCCTTTGAGTACTTTTTTCTTATATTGTCTTTATCATGTCTCGTTACAAGAGAAATATAAAATCAACTCTGCAGTGTTAAAAAAAAAATTAGAAGATTTACCTTGGGATCTCATGATAGATTATAAAAGAGTTGTTAGAGAAACTAAAACTTCCTGAGGTTAAATTGACATAGTGTTTAGCTTGTTAAATATATTTTGATCATTTCTGGGAATTCTTTTGTTGTTGTTGTTCTAGCAGTACTTACCTGTTAAACATATCGTTATAGTTATAGGCATATAGGTTGTTATTTTTAAGGTATTATTTTTAACACACTTAGATCTGGTAAAAAGAGATCTCTGTTTCTGTTTCTTATTCTTAAGTGGTGCTTGTGTTTTCTTCACTGAAAAATGGGTCAAAGGCAACATTCAACAAATAGTAATCTCATTCGGGATTTTTTTAATATAAATCTAATTCTTATGCAAGCTAAAGTTTAAGAACAGATTACCTAGGAAATAAACTCTAAATGTTTTGAACATTTTAAATTCACCATTGTTTGTTACCAGCCACTACAAAGTTATAACAGGGTAGCCCCTAAACTGTCCCCAAAGAAACTCCTCCTCTTCCCAACTCCTTCATTTCCCTGACCATTGGGTAATGTTCATTCTCTTTTACCAATTTCTAGAACATTTAATGGTTTTGTTTTGGTCTTATCCTGCAATTTTAACTTACTTGTGTTTTCAGGTTTTCCTTTGCCAAACCAATCATGTTATGTATTTCCTTATAATGATCTTCCTCAATAATATCTGAGCATACACAGTGGAAAATTTGGGCCTGATTTTATCCTTCACTTTTCCCTCTTGATATGTTCCTTTTGCCCTTTCATCTGAACCTGTTTAACCATTGCCATTCTCCAAAAGTCCCCTGCAAATTTTAGGATCCATTCTATCCTCCTCATGAGTCTTTTCTTAATCTTCTCCAACTCTGTGTCCTTTGAACAATATTATTATGCAGGAAAGTATAAAAGGAAAACAGGGTAAAAGTATGGAAGCAAATTAGGAGAATGCTTTAGTAAGCTAGGCATTAATTTATCAGAGTTTAAACTAGTGCTAGTTTCAGTAGAAATGATAAAAAATGAATTTAAAAGTATCAAAAATGAGCCATCCGAGTTTGGTTTAATTGTGATTGATTAGACACGGTATTTGATCATTCAGAAAAGATTTTTATGGCACCAATTAAGAAAGGTGGTAAGGAAAATAGAAAAATGACCTAAAGTATATTTGAGAGGACTGTATTCATCAAACAATCACATTTGGCTATACCAAATCACCATTTAAATTGCAATGAGGAATTACTATAAAGTAAAAGTACAGGTTTTTATCAGTTTAAATTAGGGCCATCTGCCTGAGAGGAAAGGCTAATCAGAAAGGCATTCTTCAGAAGGCTGAAATGTGGTGGGATGAGAGTAACCGTGAGGGTGGTGTTGAAGGACGTTCCCTTCAAAACAAGCAGCGTATGCAAAGGTACTGGTTTGGACAAAGATATGTTATATTCAGAAAAGTGGTATGTTCAGGGAACCTCAAGAAGGCCAATCTAGAACTCAATTGCCAAATGATGGGGAACTGTTTGACACTATAGATTAGGGAGATCTGGGTAATGTGGATGCAAGAGATGAGCCCTTGTTAAAACCTATTCCAGCCTATCTCAGACTTAGGAGAAGAGTGTTAATGGGCAGATACAGAGAGAGGGTAAGTTTTCAGATGATAATGATTTTAGTTTTCAAGTTTGAACTACTTATAAGACAGTTATGTATATTATTGTCTCAAAATATGAGAGTGGAATGCATGTATAAGTAAGAAGGCGAGAAGAAGGGAAGGGAGAAGGAAAGAGTGTTTAGATTTCTCCCCATAAAGTTGTGTTTGTGAGATGGGATTTTCATCTTGGCTAGAGATGACTAAAAAGGGATGGGGGGTTCAATGATTTTATAAGTGCTTACTTCATAAAATCCTTGTCCTTTATATGAGGTAGCTCATTCATCTTTGTGTATCACAATCTGTCACGTTCAGATTCAACTGCATGGAACGACATAAGAAAGAAAGCCTACGTGGCATTGATATTTAAGGTTGTATTAAGAAATAGATGGGATTTTAATGGACACATAAAGTTAAGGATGTGAGTTGGAGCACAGTCTGTGAAGAAGGAATTGTTAAAAGAACTAAGGGAGATTAGCACCATGGTAGAGTGTATCTTCTCCCCTAGCAGAAGGGGAAAAAACTTCTAAGACAATGCTATGTTGCTGACAGATGTGCCTTATCTATCTGCTGTCGCAGGAGTTTACAGCTGGAGTGTGAATTTTGTTGTTACTTTCTGCAAGAAACGGTGTAGTACATTCTCCTCAAGTATTTTAGATACAGGGGATCTACTCCACCTGGGAATTCGGTGAATAATGCTCTGGAAGGGAATGGAAGAACCCTCTAAAGGATTTGTCCAAATTCTTCTGATATTCATGACTTTATGTAATGTTTCCAGGCTCATGTCTTTGGACTCTGTGTTGCTTATTATTTGCTGTGTTGCTACATCTTAATTGTTTGCTTTACACCTGCATTATCCGTTCTTTCTGAACATAATGGTCTCCACCCACTTATCAGCTTGGTTGAAGTGAAAGTTTCTTAAAGTCAAACTCAGATGTCACCATGTTTGTGAAAACATCCCTCACCACTTTTAAATGGAAATGAGAATTTCTGTCTTTGTACTCATGTATCCTTTACTTTGTGTTCTGTTTTAAACTTGCTCTCATTATATTAGATTGTTTCCAATTTTGAGGCACCTGGAATGTATCAGGACTCTGAGTTTTCTAACAGAGGACCCAGTAAATATTATACCCTTCATAAATAGTTGGAATTGTGGGATAGTCATCCTACCAAATGATTTGTGAGGATCCAAGAAAATGAAGATTAAGAAAAAACTATTAAAGACTTACGAATGAAAAGTTTCACTAAAATCGTGTATATGCCAACTGCAAGCAGCTAAATCCATCTTTTTTTCACTGTTTTGTCATTGGGATATAAAACTAGATGCGGTGTGAGATTAAGATCCTCATTATCAAAGTGTTGCATAACATGATTAATTCATAAAATCCAACAGATTTCTTAGGTACTTTTTATTCTCAGTAGATAATAGCAGTAATTTTGAGATGGTTCACTTACAGTACCTGTTGTGGCCAGCAGATGCCTGCAAACACCATAAAATCATTTGACCAGCTAGTTTTAAAGAACATGCTGCTGCTTTTTGGAACTAACTTACTGCTAGTCTACTGCGATTGTTCATATTTTATTCTTTGCCTTTTGATCGCAGATGAAGAGAAAAGTGAAAAGATATTTCACTTAAAAGAAAGGGACATTTAATATTATCTTTTCTGGGGTATTAAATCAATGCATTTTTACATCATTTAAAAAATTTGGATGGGAATTTTGTAAGAGAAACAGTTGTAACTATTGCATCATACTTTTTTGATAAGATCAAGAAAATTTTATTTTAATGTGTCTTTATCTTTTTCTCTAACCAATTCAGGAGATGTATTCAAAAGGAATAATTCCCCTTTCTGCTGTATCTACAGTACGAGTTCAAGGAGACAACAAATTTGAAGTTGTTACAACACAAAGAACTTTTGTGTTTAGAGTAGAAAAAGAAGGTAATATTATTTCTTTATCCTTATAAAAACACATTAATTTCTGGCCAGATTAATAAATCAGGTAATTATAGAAATATGAAGAAACTTTCACATAGTTTACATTTTAAAATTAGTATTTTAATACACAATGTTAAAAACTAAATAAATTGAAAAGTTATATTCATTGTTCTTTTATGTGATAAATTTTAGGATGAACCTATTGAATGCTAAGGACACTTTTGGAAAGTTGTACGTATATATCACTAAAGTGAGAAAAAGTAGACAAAAATCTCTGCTCTCATGGAGCTCATTTTAAACTCTTCTTTTGATAGTGAAAATATTTACTATACAAAAGCAGTTTTCCTGTTAAGTTGGTTTTATGAAGAAGTTTCTCTAGGTCAAGTTTTTAGCTGAACGTACCAGCACAATAATCATTCTTCTAGAGATTTTGAAGCATTTGTTATATTTCTTAAATTCATTTCACATGTTTTATCTGTAATGGGTCACTTACTGGTAAAAATTGATCTAAAGGTGGCATTTATTTTCTGGATCAAGTGTAAAGGAGTACATAGAAATCTTTCCTGAATTTTGTTTATTTAGGGAGGGAGAAGCCAGGGAATTTGAAAGTTCTATGTTGTATATTTTGACTATTGTGATATACTATTACTATAAATCTCACTAGTTTTAAAAAAATATAGGTAAAGCCATCTCCTTAATTGAAGAATTGGAATTTTGCCTTATTTTGAGGATTGCTTTTATTTTGGCATAGATGTATACTTAAGCTTGATTTCCCAAAAGTATTTCTTGGTGCTTTGTTTGAATTCTGATGGGATAGAAAACTTACTGAATACTTGATGTGTATCAGACAGTCTGCTGCATCCATTTTCACAATAGTCTTAAAAAGTAAGCATTGGGTTTTCCCGTTTTACTGAGAAGAGTACTCACCAGCATTTGGAAGTTATTACAGTGTTAACTATTATGGGGCAACATTGTCATTTTTTTAAAAAACTAGATTTCCTAGAACATACAACAGCGTAATTGGCAGGAAGAAAGCATTCAATAAAATAATCCTAGAAAATTCCCACTGTTGCTTGGGGTGATCTATAATGAGTATATTCCAGCTGTCCTTCACACCTTGTTTTTTTTTCCCCCAAAACTCTGGGTTACTCCTGATTTGTGAGATCAATTTTATGATGCCACCAAAAAACATAAATTAAGTACCAAAGTGTATTTTTGTGTGTAGTAAATATTATATTGTGAAACACCTTTGCATATGCTACATGATATTTAAAAGACATATCAAAAGCTTTGACGCTGGAGCAGAGGCCAGCAAACTGCAGCCTGTAGCCTACTTCTGGCTATTTCCTGTTCTTGTGAATGAAGACTTTTTAGTTCACAGCACTCTCATTCACTTATATATTCTCTTATGACTGTTTGGTTCCCCTGTCCCAGAGCACATTATCAAGGATTCACTATGTGAGGAGCCATTTTTCTGAATGATGGCCTGAAATTCAGAAAGTCACCCATAGTTTTGATATTTGATAAGGAATTTGTATTGAAACCATTTTGCCTCTTCATGTATTTCTTGTAACGCACAGCATTGCTCTTCTGCATTGGCCATTGTGACAGTCTTTCCTGATGCTTTGGTTTCCACTGCCCAGAGAGGTGACTGCCTGTTTCTTTGAGGTGCTGGTCACTTCCCCTTGGCCTCTTAAAGTGAATATCACATATGCCATATAGTCTCTGTTTATACTAAATAAAGCTTCCAACTTGTGAAAAATCTTGTTTTTTGCTACATTAAAAATTAAACAGACACATTTTATTTAAATAGGATGTATAAATCCACCCATATTTAAAAGTTATATGTTTACAGTGGACCGATATAATCCTTCTGTAGCATATGGTTCATTTTTGTGCTGTAAATTTAATATAAGAATTTTATGAATCTTGATATAAATTTATTATTTATTAAATAAAATTGTAGGTTTTTAGTTTTTGAAACCATGGAAACACTGTTTAAGTAAAAAACTTAAGCTTATTGTATCCCCATAGAATTACTGAATAAGTTTCATTGAAAGTTATTTTTACATGGTAACTCACATTCTTACAAAAAGAGGTGTGTGTTCAAGCATATGTATGTGTATATGTATATATATTTATATATAAGGGATATATTTGGTATGGAACCTTCAAAAAGATGCTAAATTTTTTTGTTAAATGATCTTCCTCTCACATGTACAAATAAGTGGTTGATTATTTTGTGGGGACTGGGAAATGAAAAATTTTATTTAATGAGCTTTAGGCTAAATCTAATGCTTCCATCTAATGAAGATGCAAAACTAGAATTTAGCACAGAAAGGGGAATAGTTTGACATCTTAACAGAGATAAATTCTTTGTTTTTGGTGAAGAAGTTCTAAATGACCTGTATACAGCAGCTACCCTTGATCTTCTCTGAAATCAGTGTCACTATTTCTAAACTGCTCATCACCTACTGGCTTGGCTAATGTAGTATTACAATTTGGAGTCTTTTCCCTCCTGATTTTCTGAGGCTTCAATTCCTCCAAGTTTCTTAATAAGATATTGTTATTACCTTAGCTGAAAATGAAATAATAACATTTAAAAAAATTAAATATACTCTTCCTCAAGTAGAAAATTTAGTCAGATCCCTCTTATTCTTGAGCAGTATCAGTGGAATTGGGTTGAGGGTAATAACAGCTCATGATCTCTTCAGTCATTTTCCCTGAGCACCTGTGGTCACAGGTGTGGATACAGTATGTTCCTGGCCATGGTAGCACATCCTAGACCCCTGAGAAACAGGGAGGTATGCCATTCTGCTTACTCTTTCCTACCTGGATTCAGTCTGTTTTATTTCTGTATTTGCCTTGATAGCCCTTTCCCATTTTTTATTTTGTTTTGGATGTATTTTTCCTTTGCCTTAGTAATCTCTTCATTTGTTTTGGTGGGTCATTTTCTGGCATCATAGGCACAGTGGTACCTGAAGGCTTGTCCAGTTTTCTTTCTCCTTTTCCATTAAACACTTATCCATGTCTTCCTTTGTTAACCTGTTGCTGTCATTCTGCATAGGTCCTTGTGCCATGGCACTGAAAAATAAGAAGGTCCTTTAGATTTTTGAATCTTTCCACCTTCTTTATCTGGCCAGTTTATGACACCTAGCTACCTTTTATTCTGACTAATTTATTTTTTTAATGAACATCCATTAGTATTGTTCAGAACATTAGCTAGCTAGTTTTCATTCTCCTTAATATCTTTACTCTTAATATGTTCATTTGTTTCCATTTTCTTTCTCCTTTAAGTCTTATTCCTGATCTCTAAACTTAAGAGTTTGGCCCACCTGTCATCATCCTAATTATCCTGAGCTTGTCTCTTGCTTGCTCATAATCCTGAAATGTATTTCCTTTGCCTCTGTAATAAGAATGAAATTCCTTAAAAGGGCAGTGAAGATTCTGTAGCTACATTTCCCATTATTTCTTTGTGAGTTCAAAATTATAAATATATTTACTAAGTTAGTGGCTGATCACATGTTGGTTTCTCTTGCCTTTGTTCGTGTGTTGGGCTTGGTCAAAATCCTACTCTGTTCTTCCCTCTCTCAAGTGCCAGTTTTGTCTTTCGAATTGCTCATCCTCTTGAGACACACAAGTATTCTCTTTATTCCAAGGTACCCAGAAAAGCTGAGCGAGAGAGTTAAAATATTTGATTGTCCTGATTTTAATATTAGCTTGCTAAATGACCTTCAGCAAATCACTTACCTCACTTGAATTGACTCATATATTATTTGATACCATTTGTATGACATTTATACTATTCTGTGTTACATTATGTGTTCAAATCTAACTGGACTTATAGCTTTGATTGCTCTTTGGGAACAAATAGCATTTGTATGCCCCTAACACAGTGTATTGTACATAGGTGAAGGTCACTCAGCTTTTGTGGAGGGAGTTAGGAGTACCATGTTTAATTTACCAGTAGAGATGCTCTTGTTACTGTTGAGGATGGGAAGGGAGACTGACTATCAAGGGAGGCTTTGTCACACACAATCTATTAATTGTTGCATAGGAATTGTATTTTCTTCTATGAAAAGAGAAAATTCAATGTCATGAGTCACCTAAAAAATGTTTCTAGGATTTCACAAGGACACAAGTCACCTAGAGTTGATTTTGTAATGCAGACTGATTTATCAGGTCTGGAGTGGGGCCTGAGATTGCATTTCTCCTATGCTTCCAACAGAGGCCTTTGGCATTGACTCTGGAACAGCTGAGTAGTTACTTCTTTTCCCTTAAAGAGGTGGGTCATTGGCACTCCCTGCAATAGCATTGAAATTGTGGTTGTGAGAAAGTATGAGATTTATGTCTTTCAAAGAAAGCAGATTCCTTGTTGGTATTTCTGTGTCTGCACAACTTAAATGTAGATTTATGTATTTTCTTGTATTTTCAGAGGAGAGGAATGACTGGATCAGTATACTGTTAAATGCACTGAAGTCACAGTCCCTTACTCCTCAGTCTCAAGTAGCTGTTGCACCTGAGAAATGTGGATATCTTGAACTGAGAGGGTACAAAGCCAAAATTTTTACTGTATTAAAGGGAAGCAGTCTGTGGCTTTGTAAAAATGAACAGGTGAGTTTTATTACATTAATTGGAAATTGCTGTTTTTGATTATAGTAGTAACTGTGTTGAGTTTTTGGAGTTTTTATTTATAGAGCCTTGTTTTTGTATTGAGTTCTTACTAAATAAAGCAGAGAAAGAGTGGTTGAATTTTTTTGTTTCAGAAAAGTATCTACATCCATTTTGAGGCTGGACATCACCTTTGTAAGGGGATGAGGAAAGAGCATTGCTGAAAATAAGTTTTGAAACATATTCCTTAGTTGAAGTAAAATAAAACTATGTGAGAGAATAAGAACCAAATCACCATTACAGCTGTTGATGAAATAGGGCCAGTTCTGCATCTGGTGTGCTGCTTTTATTTTTGTAATAGAAATTTTTAGAGTTAACACACATAATACACTTGCTTGAGTTTACAAGATTTTATTGGTCTTTTTTCTTTTTTAGTAGATATATTGCTTGTGGGAAACAATAAGTGAGATAAGTGGGAAAAGAGATATATGTGTGTGTGTATACACACACACACACACACACACACACACACAAATCCCAAAACGTGCATACATATATTTGCACACACATACCACATGTACATAAAGTAGACTTGAATTGTTGAGGTTTTAAACTTGGTTGATGTGAAAATACTCAATAGAGAATTTCAATATTTTTGAGAAGACTGATGATGAAATAAAGAGTTAACAAGTGTTATTTGGTTCTGTACACTTCCTTTTCTCTAATGTTTCTGATTTTCAGTATGTGAAAGAAAAGTTTTTTTGTCTCTTTTGGGGTATATTTTCTTATATTTTAATCTTTCAGCCTAGGATATATTAGGTGCTTAGCAATCATTTGTGGCGTTAATCTGTGTCCTTTGGATATCTAATCTAGGAGAAACTTGTTTTATTGTACATTATAGTAGGTTATGGTAAGGTGAAGTATAAGTGCTATTTTCATAACAAAAAAAGAGATACCAATTCTAAACAAGCAGTAGTTTCAGAAAACTAACTGCACTGTATAGATCTTTATCCAAGGCATCCTCTGAACTTTGGTGTGAACTTACTCATTGAGGTTTTTTTTTTTTTTGATAAGATTTCTTAGCCAATTAATTGTGGAAGGCTTCATTGAGCACTGCTGGCATGCTAATAACTTGGATAGTTAGCATATTCCTCAAGAAGATTAGTGATGTATAGCTTAATAATGTGTATGAACTGAATATTAACATTTTCATTCTGTGAAGTTAGATGATTAAAACTCTTCGTATTGGAATGGAGGTTAAAAATGCATAGTTTGCATGTGTTGGTATGGAAGTCACTCTGCCATTTGAGTTATTCATTTTTTACTTGCACAAACCTGATAGACTTTACGTTAATTTCATTGTTTACATTAGCAAGATTGTCTGAGTTTTTCTTATTCTTTCAAAGTAGAATAGATATTTTTGAAGTTTTCGTAACATTTTTGATTAGCAGAAAAGTACATGACATTATTGATTTATAATTAGTAATTGGGTGTGAAAAAACATAATAATGATGCCATTTATTGAGTACAGATATCCTGCTAATTGACTTGTAAATGTTCCCTTTTAATCTTCCTTACAAATATAGGAAACACATATTCTCATCTGTATTTCATAGATGAGAAAAATGAAGATTAAGTAATTTCTGTAGGGATTATGGCTCATCATGCAGAATTTAATTTAAATCCAGAACTTTATAACTGTAACCTTGGCTTTCTAACCATCATACCAAACTGTCATTTAAAAGGCTAAATTGAAAAGAAATTTTCTGTCCTTTAAACATTCAGAAATAGCTCAAGAATTCTTTCTATGAATAATCATTGTCTAGGACTTTCAGGAAATGCATTCAGTACACTTTGTGTATCATGTTGGCCCTCTAACGGTACTGTGTTTACTGAAGAAGGAGACATAGGTCTAACCTTCCAGGAGGAAAAGTAAGACAAGCCCAGTGAAGGATGAGCAGTGCTGTATTAGATTGTGCAGGAGTTACAGAGAGACACAACAAAAGGAGCATCTAAGAAATCTAGACTTGGATCCAGGAACACTTATTTACATAAGGAATGAATATGTTCTCTTAAAAATTAAAGTATTAAGGCTGGACCCTGCCCCGTTATTTAATAAGTAAATAATTTTTGATGTACATAGATTTGAAGTCTTTTTCTTTGTATTACCATACCTATATATGCAACTTGGAAAAGTGGAAACTAGTTTTTGATGTGCTAATTTTGTTTTATTTAATTGCATCATTTAATATAGTGGTCATATCTTAAAGAATTTGGGCTTGAGTTAAATCTTAATGTCTTATGAACTAGCTGGCTTGAGCCTGAGAGGCTAAGTTAAGGAAGGTTATCCATGCTCACGCCATTCCAGTTGCTTCCATTTTACACTGTGGTATGTGCCTTCTTCTCCAGAAGAAGGTTGCTCCTTGGCTGTTTCATACAGTAAAGCAGGTTAACTTATGTAAGCTGTGGCATGATAAGTAAGGAAGGAACCTTTTTCCTGAATGCAGAGGGCTTTATGGTAGTGTGGGCATCAACCTGTGTTTTAGGAAAAGCATTAAATGATAGTGAAATGTTTCACTAGAAGTTTTACAACTTCTAGAAGTTTTATGAGCATACACCATATGTATTTTTCAAAGGTAATGAAAAATAAGCAACTCATCATAAAAATGTAGTAGGTATTAGATTTGAACTTCTGTATCTTAATTTGTTTTGGGTCTAATTTAATGTGGCAAGGCTTAATTATCTTTATTATTTTATAACAGTGAATTTGTTACCCTGATAACAATAATATAAAGAGAATTAAAACATAAAGAAATTGACCTACACCACTGCAGTGTAGGAACAAATTTTTTTTTTTTTTTGTACCGGAGATCAAACTCAGGTCCTTGCGCTTGCACAGCAGGCGGTGAAACCACTGAGCTAAATCCCCGGCCCAAGGAACAAATTAACTTCAGTTTTCTTTCCTTTAATATATGTACAGTTTTTACTAACTTACTTTGACAGTCACTTTAGAGGAATAGACGTACAGTGGACATGGTTAGAAGAGTAGCCAGTACAGCATGTGTTGAAGAGTCATGAAAAGAGTTAGCTCCTTTACCCCAAAGATGATTTAAATGCAAGATTGTAGTTACAGGTTTTCATTCTTGCTCCACTACTAATTGACTCAGGTAGTTAAGTTAATCTTTTTTAAATTGGCATCATATAAAGAAGGGAAGTGGATTATTACTTCTTAGGCTGTTACTTGAGCCACATCTTGAACTTTCAGATTATTAAGTCTAGTTTAGACCATTTGACTCAATTTTGGAGAAAGATATGATGAAATTTGGATTCCTAAATAAATACCCAGGTGGTTCAGATAGGTGATTCCAGTACCACACATTATAAAACTCTGCTCTGATGTGTTTTCCTCCTTCCAAAATGATGAATTGGGAAATATGTAAAAATAGTCTTCGACAACATTATATCAGTGTTTCTTTCATCTGTACTTTGGGATTGTGATAACTCTTTTTTGGGATTAACCGTAATTTAGACTTGTGTCTTTTTCTTGATTAAGTATTTTGGAACATTTAAGTACAGAAAAATATTTAAGTAGAAAATTAAGAAAGTCATTATTAGTAGTAATATATTTTTGAATTTTGAAGACCTGTGTGTAGTTCTAGACTAATATATAGTTTATTGCTTTTTTGTTTTAAAAAACTCACAATTTTTGTATAAGTTTTTAATTTTAAGCCCATAAATCCTCCCTTAACAATTTACTTCCTTTTTTTGAATATAGATGCTTGTTACAAAAGTGTACCTTATTGGAGGGAGTTTTTTAAACTCCCACTTGCAAAGTCAGCATTAAAGAAAAGTGTTTGAAAACAAATAGAGATATTTTTCATTTGTTATTTCCTGTAAACTCCTTTAACCCTGTGTGTGTCTAGAAGGTTACTTTTGGAGATTATTTATCTTTCCTAGAGCTTTTTCTTTTAGTAAGTGTTCTTAAGGTCTCAAGTATCCTCACAAATAAATTTTGAATAATTGTTTTCTTTTTTTTGAATCAATCTCCTACACTGAATCAAGAATATACACTTTCTAAGTTAAAATAACCACTAAGATAATACTGTAATCAGTGCTTTTATACTTTTTGAAATTCTCTCTTTTTAAAGAGAAATGGCATGAGGATACTAGGGAGGTTGCCTGTGTGCACGTTCTCATTGATAATTCTCTGGCTGGTCTCAAATCTGAATAGTACACATCAACATGGACTTACCATGGACTTTGGTTTTCCTAGTTTCTCAGTTCAAAAATTCACTTTTGTTTGGTCCCTTATATTCCTCTTCATTTATTAGCACCTTGTAAGAACTAAAACCTGAAGTAGCTCTTGGACTATATAGAGGTAATATGTTATGAAATACTTTATTAGCTACTGCCTTAGGTGTTTTTGATTTTTTCTTTTTCCATATAGACTTTAAGGAGAAGTAGGATAAAACTATGAAGAGATAACTAAAAACATCTATCAGAGACGAAAAAGGCATAGTCAAAACTGACACTAAAATTCTTTACCTAGTTACCTCTTGGAAAACTCTGTTGCTCGTGTCACATAAATTGTCATCCCTTACATATTTAGCATCATCTCTCAGCCCCACCCCGTTTTAATCTTAAAACATTGTTTTGTCTCTTCTCATATTTTATATACTTGCAATGTGTTTTGACTTTTTTCATATTATTCAACTTTGCATAAAATGAGTTTGTCTGATTGAGTTTGTATAGATTACACTACAGTCGCTGCAGTTCTTCATCCATTCCTTCATTTAGCAAGTGCTAAGCAGGTCTCTTCTCACTTGTAGGTGCTATTCTAGGAGCTAGGGGCAAGTGGTAACCCCACAAGATCACTGCTCTGTGCACTTCCTGATGAGAATGATGTAGTGTTAAACACATGAGATTCCTCTTACTTTGTAGATAGCCCTGTCTTTGGTTTTGAATTTTCTTTTTTGACAAGATTTGCTGTGATTTTCCTGAAG